AGAGTGATAATATGATTGCTCAATCAATGTTTATCAAATATATACTATTAACCAAAACTCACCGTTTTAGTAAAACAAACAATTACAAAAATACCCATACAAATAGGCTTTAAAAACGTGACATGTAATCTGTTTATGGAAATATATTCAACAGATGGGCATAACAAAGGTTGAGGTGGAAAAATTTGATGGAAGAGGCAACTTCAACATGTGGAAGATTAAAAAATGAGGGTTGTCCTAGTGCAACAGAAATGTGAGGATGCTCTTAGAGCTAAGAAGGATCTTCTTGAGTCCAAGATAGGGAAGAAAACCTAAGACAGGACCTTGTACGTACTAGCTTGGTATCAGAGCACAGACATGGATGAACATATGGAGAGATTGGAAGATGCAATCCAGTCTTTGTTAGAGCAATTTAAGGAGATGTTCGCTTAACTTTCCAATAGGTTGGATGTTACGGCCACCACACTAACACGTCATAGAGGGGATCATTCTAGAAGTAGTATGAACAACGAACAAAGCAACTCATGTAATGCATCAGGTTTGCACACAACATACGCTTCTATGGTAGTGAAGTTGAATTTTTCGCGATTCAATGACAACAAAGACTCAACTAGATGGCTATACCGGGCTGAACAACTTTTCCAATATCATCACACCTCGAAAGGAGAAGGAGTTTCATTGGCGTCTTTCCATCTCCCTGGAGATGCTCAATTATGGTACCAATTACTCGTCCAAGACCATTCGAATATCACTTGGTAGGAGTTTTGTGATGAAATATTACAGCGTTGCGACACTAATCAATTTGTTGTTTTCTTTAGGGAATTGACTAAGTTAGAGCAACATGGTACGATGTAGGAATACCAAAGCCAATTTGAGAGGTTGCTCTCCAATGTTGGACGGTTGGAGATGTTGAGACAAGTAAGTTGCTTTATAAATGGGCTCTCTGAGGCTCTTCGGGAGGATATGCAGGCAAACCGACCCATTTCCCTATCTACTATTGGGCTTGCCAAATTGTATGAGGCTCAAAATAATCTTATCTCCAAATACCACAAGTCCAACCCTTTTCGCCATGAATAACCCAACCCGAAGCGAAAACCCACCGGTTAAAGGTTATCCTTTGATGAAATCTTGAAACGACAATGAAAAGGCTTATGCTTTCATTGTAATGAGACTTATGCACCAAGTCACCATTGTAAGAAGTAATTCACAATTCAAGCTGCCTTAGAGGATAATGACGGAGAAGCCGAAATGGAGCTAGAAGAGGAGCTACCCAACAAAGAGAAAATATGATAGAAGTAAAAGGAATTACTCTTTGGGACAAGAGTAAGGATGTTATGATTGTTAGTTTTTATTTTAATTTAATTTTATTGTTTTGTTATTGTTGCTAATTAGTTACTATACTAGTATTTGAATTTTGTTTGAATAAGTCTTGGCAATTTTCGAAAGCCTAACAAAGTGGGTAGAGGTAGTTTTAGGTGGTTTCTATTTTATGCATTTTTACTTTTATATGGCTTTCATGTGTAATTGTTTATTTTCTTAGAGTTTTGATGAATAAAACATTACGCTTGAAATTAATTTGACATGTATGTGCAAGATGTTAGACTTCTTCAGTAAAATCATCATTTTTTGTGTTACAAAATAGCCAAATAGAAAAGAAAACTCAAGATAGGACATTATACGTACCATATTTTTTGTCACTGAATGTAAAAATGTTTATATATTTGTAATTTTATTTTTTGTCTTTAATCAAAACATTCCTATAAACATTATTATGAGATTAATTACGATAGCATTATGACTGATAGTTATTAACCCATAAGCCCACCAACTTTATACTACACATTGATATTAATGTTTGCTTAAGATATTATTGCTGTCTTATTCTACAATTTTTTTTTTTCGCAACCCTTAACATTTTAGAGGCCAACCGATTCCCTTCTCTCAACAACCTTCAGTCACCAAAAAATAAAATAAAAAAATAGTAGTGTCTTAATGAGTCCAGGTATCTCTTACCGAATAAGATTATTCTTTCCAATTAAACTGAAATTTTAAAATTGTGTTTGTTACAACTTAGCAATTACTTATTATTATTATTTTTTTAGCACGCTATGTATAAAAGTTTGTAAGTAATTAATAAGGATATATTTTATTATTATTTTATTTTTGAAAGTAAATGTAATTTGGGAGTGAATCTTCTCATGTGTTAATTAACATGATCATGTCATGTGGGGCAATCATAACCATACATGGGCGAGTTAATGGTGATAAGGGAAGAGAAAAAAAAAATAAGGATAAGAAGTTACACAATCATCATCGTTAATTTAATTATTAATAGTTAAAATTTTTCTACGTGACATGATCACGTGTTAAGATAAGAGGATCATGTAATTTAGAAAAGAGCATTGTAATTTAAGAATAAAGTGCTTACATTAAACATATTGTTATGGAAACACCATGAGTTGTCCGTTTTCCATACAAAGGGCCTATTTTTCAGTGTCATGACATTAATATTCAACGGGCTGGACTAAAATAATCACAATAGTATTTTGCCCCCTCTAAATACTAAGATGTCTCACTGTATAATTTTTTTTAAAAATATATTTATCAGTTAATTGATTAACTGATTAACCTAACCCAGTTCAAGTATTATTGAACTTATTATAGCATAGGTGACGGATCTCTTAAAATCATTTTTTCCATTTTTAAAGTTCAAATTTAAAACCACTTGTTGATGAAAATAAGCTCCTTATCACCCCAACCAACAATTATAAGTTTATAACTAGTTGTGTAAGATTTTTAACGTAACTGAATGGAATGCTACAGTGTAGAATCGTAGGGATCGAGATTCTCTATAGTTCTTGAAAAATGGTACACTAAATCCAGCAAACTTTTTAAAGCCAAGACATTGCACGGGATTTTTTTATTTATTTTTTATAATATCTCTAATTATTTCTTTTAAGGCGAGTAAATTTTTCGAATATTTATCCAAGTTTTAGCTTTTTGAACAGATTACGACACTAATTCCAAATATAAAGCTGATTAAAAATTAAAATTTTATGCAACTTCTTAAAATAACATTGGTGGGTATCGAAGTGAAATCTTTTCCCATCTATTCAGCTCCCTTGCACTTATTTATTGATTTATTTTTTATGATAAGTGTTAACATTGCCTACGGGTTTGATGACTGTGTGTTCCATAAGTCCTTCTCTCACATTCTGAAGCAAAAAGAAGCATAGTTTAGTGGAAGAAATGGAAAGAAATCATAAAAATATTTTACCCACCAAATATCGCATGTGATAACTTAATGTCACAAGAAACAGTAACCTGAAGCCCAAAAGAAAAGCCATAATTGTCCTTATACAAGAATCTAGACTAAAAATAAAAATAAAATTTAAAATTACTAGACTACACGTGAGTTTATATAGAAAAAACAATTATAATACTCTACAGAATTATTGTAAAGAAAGCTGAAATTTTGTGTATGCATAAAATGTTGTATATATAACATCACTCTTGATAAGAAAAGGTGCCACGGAAACTGAAATAAATAAGCTGCAAAATACGAACTTCATCAGTGGTCATTAATTACATGATTGTTTGGGTAGAATTTCAATGACCGTATATTAAAAGAACTTAATATAAAAAATTGATTCTAAAAACTTGAAATAATTAATTTTAAGTTATCTTAACCTTCACCTACCGTGTGTGTCTGTGTAAAGTAAAAACTATATGTTAAGATTCCGCGTCAGTCAGGTATTCGGACAAAGTACCTTTTTTTAATAATAATTTAGACATTTTTCTTTTCTTTAGCTTTAAGTATTTAGTTAGGTTTAATCCGTTTTCAATTTTAATGTGCTGTCAAAACCTATCTCAATTTTTATTTCTTTTGGTAAATAACTTATCTCAATTTTAGTTTTAAGTAATCTACATATGTCCAATCCTATATTTATGTGTGTCCAAAACGCGAATGAATCTTTGGTGCTACTGTTGCACCAAGAATCAATGCATCTCACCAATGGAAGTATTACATATCATAGAAGAGAGAAAAAATTTAACAGACAAAAAAAAAACTTTAGCTGACATGTAATATTTCTATTGATGAGATGTACTGAATCTTTGATCCAACAGTAGCACCAAAAATTTATTCTCAAAATGCAAGTAGGTTTTTGAATTAGGTTAAAAAAAAAAATTATTTCCTTTTACAACTTAATAATTTTTTTTATAAAAATAAAATGATATAAACATGCACTTATTTTCTCTTAATTTCTTCCTCTTGTTTCTTTTCTATTCTTTTCTCATGGCATAGCTCTTGTTGAGTTTAAGTTGCGCCCTGTTGTGTTGTTCATTTGATATAGTGGAGAAGTGGGCTTGTTGAAGAAGTTGTGACAGCTCAATTCATCATGTACAAAACTATACTTGTACTTAATTGTTGGTAACCAACGTCCTTTGTTACTACTAAATTATTGTTAGTCAGGTTTTTTGGTTTTGGGAAATGTATATAACAGACTAAGAAAATAGCATTTGTTTGTTTCTCGAATTACATATACTGAAAACTACACTGCATTATGTTTTAACGAGTATCGTGTAGCTCAAGATAAGCTAATAATTTCGTTTGAGTTGATTTTTCAGCAAAAATTGAGTGAGATTAAGGAGATCATCTTCTGTACATCTGTAGTATGTACATCTGCCATTTAACAAGTGACACTTGGATAAAAAAATATTTTTCTCTCCTTTTCATGCAAACATGACAATCATTTCTCATTTTTTATTGGATAGATACACTGAGTGAATGGTACAGCAGTAGTACCATAGATATTTCCGAGATTAAGGTGGTTACATTACAGCTAAGATTGTTGATGAAGTGTAATATACAACTATATTACAATGACATTCACTCAATAGTTTTTTTATCTTCAAATATTTAACCTTGAAATTTCTTATATTAGTACATAACTACCTATGTTAAAAAAATCTAATATAAAATCATTGGTGTATCTAATAGCTAAATTGGTTGGTTAATAGTATCTTTAACAGTTAGTAAGTTGAAACATTTATATAAGATTCTCGGAACTGAAGCCTCAAAGCACAAGACCATCCTCATTCCTCAGATTATCTGTTTCCAATACTGTAACCCCATTTTCAAAGCTCATTGCTGAAGAGAAATTGAAAAGCATGGGGTATTCAACTTATTTCTTGGTTTCCTTGCTTCTGGTTGTAATGTTCAATGTGGCTAAAGGACAGCCTCTAGTCCCAGCAATGTTCATATTTGGGGACTCTGTCGTTGATGTGGGAAATAATAACCACTTATACACTATTGTTAAAGCAAACTTCGCTCCTTATGGAAGAGACTTCAAGAATCACATGCCAACAGGGAGGTTTTGCAATGGAAAGCTTGCATCAGACTATACAGGTACTTTTTTTTCCACTTTCAAAATCCCCATTTAATTAATTATCCCTTTCATTATCACTCACATTATGTTGTTTTTCAACAAGTGTTTTGATCTTTGTTCCATTCATTGCAGCTGAAAACCTTGGATTTACCTCTTACCCACCAGCTTACCTCAACTTAAAGGCCAAAGGAACGAACCTCTTGAATGGTGCCAACTTTGCCTCGGCTGCTTCTGGCTACTATGATTCTACAGCCAAATTATATGTAAATACACATTTTGGAAGTTTAAAACTCTTATGTTCTCATTTATTTTTATTTTTTCATTACTGGTAAGTCGGACGAGTTTGGAGTAGTGGTAAAACTACTCTTTCGTAACTGAAAAGTCACATATTTGAATCCGGAAAAGCGTCTCTTTGCAAATATGTAAAAATAAGGCTGCGTACAATAATTGCTCTCACTCATGCCATGGTTAGTAAAATGGAGTGTGGTTTTTTATTGGTAAGTTCTAATATGTGTGTGTTTTTCGCTTTCTTTGTTTCCCCTTGGTGTAGCATGCAATTCCATTGAGTCAGCAGCTGGAACACTACAAAGATTGCCAGAATATATTGGAGGGAATAGCAGGGAAATCAAATGCTTCATCAATTATATCTGGTTCTATATATCTTATAAGCGCAGGGAACAGTGACTTTATTCAGAACTATTACATAAATCCTCTGCTTTACAAGGTTTACACTGCTGATCAATTCTCAGACATTCTCATACAACACTATGCCACTTTCATTCAGGCATGTCTCTCTCAAACTTGACATATTCCCTTAGCAAACCACATTCCACTTAGAAAAAAAGAAAAAAGATGTTTGTCTTCATTTGATAAAGAACTTTGCTGATTTTTATTTTGCATTACCAAATTCCAAACATGCATGTGACAGAATTTATATGCACTTGGAGCAAGGAAGATTGGTGTAACATCATTACCTCCAATGGGTTGTCTCCCAGCAGCCATCACTCTTTTTGGCTCTGATAGCAATGAATGTGTGGCCAGGATAAACAGTGATGCTATTAACTTCAATAAAAAACTAAACACCACATCTCAGAGCTTGCAAAAATTGCTTCCTGGAATTAAAGTGGTTATCTTTGATATCTACCAACCTCTATTTGACCTTGTCACTAAGCCTTCTGAAAATGGTACAAAATTTAATTTTGCTAATCCCAGAAAGCCAATCTTATTATGGATCATGAACAAAGATTATTAACAAGTTTCCTTTGTGTGACACTCACTACACTATCACAGGTTTTTTTGAAGCAAGGAAGGCTTGTTGTGGAACGGGGTTGCTGGAGACATCTATATTGTGCAATAAGAAGTCTATAGGAACATGTGCTAATGCATCTGAGTATGTATTCTGGGATGGTTTTCATCCCTCAGAGGCTACAAACAAGGTTTTGGCTGATAATTTGTTAACTGCTGGCATCTCTCTCATATCCTAATCGAACTCTTTACGGGTCATATTTTGCTTTGGATTTTTTTTCTTTTTTTTTTTGAGTTATGTGTGGTTCTGCTTTGTATGAGTTTGGCTTATGTAAAAGGAGGTTGAATATGTTCAATTGCAAAGCTCATTATGTGTTTCAATTTATGTGTAATAACATCAATTTGCGTATAAGCTTCATGTAAAATTTCTATTTATATGGGACTTCAAAGCTGCTCATGCTGGATTTGTGTTCTATTTTATTTAGAGAATTTAGTTTTATGTGACAGGCAAACTCGCACCATAAATACAGAATATAAAACTTTGAGTGTAGTATCAAATAAGAAATGATTTTTTGCTCACCCTTTCATACTTAATTTCTTATATAAGATCATAAGCGGTGAGTTTCGTGTGAAGAAACTTGATTCTTAAATAGTAATATCCTGTAGAAATTTACTAAAAAATGCCTTGTATTCACCCATAATTACTCAGCTGTTATCTTTATTGAAATTTCAGATTTTGATACCAGTCTATTTGTTCCCAACGATTCTTTTAAAATCTCACATTTTCTTTGTAAGAAAATAAAGTCACATTTTTCCAGCCTCATTGATCATCTGGCTTATAAAACTGTTAGTTATATACTGTCATTAATGCTTCCCTGGATCAGAAGATGAAATGTGCTATTAACAATTTTGTGGGCTAAATTGAATGTGACTTTTTCCAAGGAATTAATTCAAGAAATCTTCTATAAGGTGATGGAGAAATGTGAAAGGAAACAACATCCACTTAAGCATTCAATGGACAAGTCTCTTCTCTGTTTTTAAATCATCTTTCTCCTCCCTTTAAACCACTATTTTACTACTCTCTTTAAACCACACAAGACTTGATCGTTCAAACCACTCATTAGCTTCAGAATTTATCTACAGTCGGATTTCTCTACTCTCATAAGAGGTATTAGCTTCAATTTCAGGGTTTTTTTGGGAGTTAAACAAGATGTGCTAATGCTAGGGGATAAAACCTCACTAAAAAAGGATCCTCGGGGACGAGTGTTTAGGAAACTTATTACTCTTCAGTTTCATCACTCACGAAGAACAAATACTCGCTGAGATTACAAATCCCTCAGAATATGTAGGTGACATAAAGCCCAGCAATTAACACATTCCAAAAAGCCAGGTACAAAATTTCTCTCACCACCAATAGCTTCTGAGAGGTAAGAGAGGGCAAAGTCAATATTGATATCCATATACAATATTGTCGGTGCAGAACAAGCAAGCACAAAACAGCATTTGTCGGTACAGAACATTCAAATATTGTCTGGACAGCTGTAATTTACAAGATAAAGTAATTCTACTTGGAGAATTTATGACAGCAATCCAACAATCTTTTTACGTCTGTCTCATTGACTAGAACTTCAGCATTCACATTATTCTCAGCACTCTCCTTTGCAGCGGTCCACTGATTCAGAATGCTGATTATCCTCCTGAGCTATTGCAAAAGTTATGGGAAAACAAACAAATGGCAGAACATACATGTGAACCTTAACCTTCAGTAGGTGTGGCTGGATATTTATGGTTTCAGAATTAAAAACCAGTAATCTAAATACGTAAAGATCAGCAGTGCTTTCGGTGCGCTGCTTAAGAATTTCCCTTACAAATGAAGGAAAATGATTAATGTCACGAAAGGAAATTAGATGTGAAGTAACAGCCAGAGAAAACAAAGATAGATATAATAATAATTTCCGCCACATTTGTACCTAATATTGTAAAAAATCTTGTGTTACATATAGCATCATTAATAAATGAAAAAGAGCAAAAACATTTCCTGTATATAAAACTGAAAAACAAAAATATGATATAAACTAGTTGATTATGTAAAACATTTTTTTGTTGAGTTTTAACTTTGATGCACTATTATTGCAAAACTTTTGTACACTGTTACTAATCTCATGTTACCACCTCATCTAATGAGTTTGACATAGCTATCACTACATGGAGAATTGGAGATGTCAAATTCATTAAATCATGTAACAACATATTATTGGATGTAAGTGAAAAACCTTTTTACACTGACAATGTATGATAAGAACCTTGAGGTGCATCACCCCAAAAGCTATCGTAACATTCCACCACGCTCCGCAGACCCGGCGCCCACGCGGGCTGGCTTTGCGCTAGTCTTTTACTGCAATGCCGGCGTTACTACCCGCGCTGCTCGATTGCAACCAGGAGGCATCGTGGAAGGCTCTGATACTATTTGATAAGAACCTTGAGGTGCACCACCCCAAAAGCTAGCTCAAAGGGTGAGAGTGCCCAAGGCCTCCAAGTCTCGTACCTTGCAAATGAGAAATATTACGATCCCATTTGCAAGGTATGGGACTTGGAGGCCTTGGGCACTCCCCCCCTTTGAGCTAGCTTTTGGGGTGGTGCACCTCAAGGTTCTTATCAATGTATCAAACTAAATTCTTTTCTGTTTCAATAGAAGTATTGTTTTAACTCTTCTGAAGACGCATAATTAGTTACTATGAATTATCACACTTTTTTAGCCTAAGCCAATTACTGCAAGAGGAACGAAAATGAATTCCTAAACATACAATCATAACAGCATACAAAGAAAAGAATGAAACTAAAATTAACATCTTATTTGAAATCTCATTCCAAGAATTGTGATTCTTCCTCATTTCAAATTCTGTCATCCAAAGGGGGCCCCAAAAACACAAACAACAAATTCAACTACAAGAGAAGGATACGGATGTATTTCGAGCATCAGCTGTGGAGCCTAATTGTTGGTTGAGAAGTTCATCTTCAATCAGATCACTTTTTCTGACAAGAACTGCAACATAGTTATATACACTTGATGGGCTCATTTCAGTTTCTCGAACTCTAACCATTATTCTAGCAATTACATTCCAGAGTGCATTTCTTGCTTCCAAATCATCGGAAGCAAAAGGGAATATGTCAAGCAGACCAGCAAAGAGGCACAAATCTGGAAGACACAGCGCCATTTACCATTATATTAACTAATCCAGAGATGCAGAAAAAAAATAAAGAATTGAAGTTTATCGAAGAGAGTGAGAGAGAGATATGTTTTACCCTGTGATATCTCAGAAACATGATCAGCAACATCAGACAAAATATTTGCAATAAGAACTGTAGCAGTGACACAGCAGTTCCCGACCTACAGAGATAATACCAATTCACCATACTTTATCAGTTAGCCAAATTATTTTCATTCCTTGTCAATCTACAAGAAGCGCATACTACAGAAGCAAGAGTCATACGACCATGTAGTTTACCAGATGACACAACTTTTATCAGTTATAATTATTTCATACCATTTTCTAGATCAATTAAGATAATCAGATGTTCTTTGAGAAGACATTTGATTCCAACAACACTTGGACTCAAAATTCATCATTGACATAAGTTTGGACAACCTGATTAAGTTCGCTGCATTATGAAGTTCACTGCTCAATTGAATTTAGATTTACTATTAAAAATATTCCTCCAGAACAAAGGAGGAAGGCCTTTTTGTTTCTATTCATGTAAGAGTAAACAGGAGTGCGAAACAAGGAACGGTAACTTCAACTCTCAGAGACACTGATATACATTAAAAAGATCGTCCATTTATCATCAATTTCAGTAAGAACTCTATTGTTCTGTGTTTTATGAGGAGATGCTTGCAACTTTTTTTTTTTTTTTTTTTTTGAGAAGGGTGCATAGTATTTGACAACGATCATCTTGTCTACCAAGCAAAATCCACGATCAAACAACTTATCATGACTTAAGGAAAATGTGGAATATATCTATGGGAAAATATCAGAAGTAAAGTACACAGTTCAACTGATGCTACTCAAGGGAACAAAGAAAAGAAAAAGAAACCATTTTTTCCACCAACAAAGAGAAAAGAGTTCTTAACTTTCAAAATATAAAAGCTCGTGATGCATTTTAGAAAGGGGTAAAAAAAGATATTATGTCGGAAAACTCATTATGATATTTACATGAGTTATGTGGACATAGATTTTTCTGACTAAGATTCTCCTCCAATAATATCTCATACCCTAGCATGGATGACCACCTAAAATATAAATTAGCTATTATAAAATCATATATTTACAGGTCAACAAATACAAAATTATTGATATAAACAATTATTACAATGGATGTTGAGTACAATGAATCAAATTGAAAGTGTTAACTACAACAACAATGTACCTCAACTTTATCTGGGAACTTAACTAGATCACAAATTAGTTGAAAAAGCTCTTTACTTGAACAAATTTCCTGAGAATGATCATCTATGACAGATAGGGATTCAATTGCACGAAGAATTAAATCAAGAATTGGGTACCTGAAACATAGATATTAGGTTGTCATATCAAATTCCAATAGATAGCTGAATGGATAATTTTTGGGAAAATGAAATGTAAGAGGGAAAACAAATTGCAAGGCAATATATTTTAAGCAGTTGTCTCTGATATTGTCAGAATTAGTATTAGAAGATAATAGGAACTGTGTAATTTCATCATTGCAGAATGAAGGGTAGTGGATCATGGTACCTTTCAGGTATTCTTTCATTCTTTAATTTGCTCATCTCAAAAGTCAAGAGACTGATCAATATACTTGCCAAACCAAGCTCCATCATAGGTGGAAGAAGAGCATCCAGAACTTTCTGCTGACTTTCTAATATAGCTAATATAAGTCCGATGCTCTGTTAAAAAGTAGAACACTCGTAGCTATTGATTAGATGGAACTTGCATTCTGGCTCAGAAAGAATGCCAAAAAATAATCAAAATAATTACATCATTTTTCCTCCCAAATTATTTAAGTTTCTATGCACATATTCCATAACATATTTTTCACAAAGTTTAGTGATTTCACATATTGTAACTTCTATAACAATAAAAACGTTGAAACTACCATGAATTAATACAAACTTTTCATTACCTTTTCTATAAGCTGAAGGTTCAAAGTATTTTCCACAATCCATAATATTTGACATAGTATATGTTCAGACTGCAATGCCTCAGCCCACGTAACAGATTCACCACTTTGAAGACCCACAGTCAACAATCTGTTCTCAAAACAAACTATAAGAAAAATTTGTAAAATAAAGAGCAAAGATAATTATGTCAAAAAGCAGCATGATACCTAATTTACAGAATAACACAAATGAAATTATTGAGATAAAAAAATGAAACATCATAGCCTTTTCCTCTCAACAAAACAACACAAAGATCAAAGCTAGAATGTAGGAGATTGAATCATGTAGCAAAGCATGCCAATCTCTCTGCAGGTATGAATAAGAAACACCTCTAAAATCACCATGAACGTAACATCAAAGGTTGGCTAACAAAATAACCCTATCCCAAATGAAGTTTAGAGTCAAACAAGTGCCCTTTTAAATTTTAGCATTCCTCTCCTGCCATAAAAACCAAATAATTGCAATGACCAAACATTGCCAGAAAATCTTGTCTTCTTTACATGTCCAAAACCTCTGAAATTAACTAAGAAAAATTGATGCAAATCCTTAGGCCGGACTCAATATTCTCCAAGAATCCCAAACAGCTTATTCCAAAGAAAAGTTGTGACAGAACAACGCAAAAAACGGATGAGCACTGGTTTCCAAACTAGAATTGCAAATCATACACATTTTGGGAGACAAAGCAGTGAGAGATCAGCGCTTCTGTAGCCTGTCATTAGTGCTAATCCTGTACGAACAGCAATCCAAACAAATTGACCTTAGATGGAGCTTTAGATTTCCAGATGGATTTGTCCAATAGAAACCCATCTCTATTAGGAGAATAGGTAAGGGGCTGAAAATAAGATTTACAACTTACAAGAGAAGACACCCGAATAGTCAACAGCCCAAATTCTTTTATAGGGATTGGAAGAAAGATGAACAAATTCCAGGAAGAGGCGAAAAGCAAAAGAGGCTCTAACCTATTCACCTCCTTATCATGCAAGTTCTTGAAACAATGAAAAATTCCAAGAGGAATTGGACAGAATAGAAAAAGGAAAAATTAGATAAGCATAGAAAAAATACAATTTTTTTCTTTTTAAAAAAAGAGTTCCAAAGATATATTTATACTAGCAGAGTGTTTCTTTCTCACAGAAGTTGAGCATTGCAGAAGCAGAACATGAAAATATAAGGAATAACAAGAAACGAGGGCATAAAATATGGAAATAGTAACCAATCATGTAGATTTCATCCTTAACAAAAATGAAATTTAGATGTCCAAAGTTGATAACAATTACGTGTTTAAAAAAATGCATCATACCGGCAAGTTTCACATAGGCATTGAGGATCATCCAGAAATAATTTGTCCACAACTATCTCAATTAGTCCTTTTGTCGAAACTATACGCTTCATTGGAACTTCATGACAGGCAAGGTTCCCAATAATTCCTATGCTAATTTCCTGCATCATGTAATTAATCCAAAAAAATATTATATTAGAGCTTCTTAGTTACCTAAAAATTTTAAATTTTCACAAACCATGAAAAGGGTGCAGTCTGAATCATGATACATATTTTGACATCGACTTACATTAGCACGCACGGATTTGGAAACAACAAGATTTGCTAAAAGAACTTCGAGTACGAGATTCTCCACCTGCAGGATTATACCGACCAACCACTTCATTTAAGTTTATATACAAATATCAAAAGGTTGAAAGGCTCAAAGCACTAAACCAAAAGAAAGCATCCATGTACGGTGTACCATGAGTTCTGCATGTGTTTTACTGGCAGCTAGGTCCCACAAAATGCAACCATATTCCTCCCAGGCATTCTCTCCAACTGAGACACCAGAGTGTTCAAATCCATCACCAGTAGTATCTTTATATTCTCCACGACGGTGAGAAACTTCACCGGAAACATCAACATCCATATTCTCAGATTTATTCTTGGGTGGCTCAAAGTGTTCATCATTAGAAATAGATGCAGACAGTGCATCATCCCCTTCTTCTGTGTTATTATGGTTAAGTGTTCCTTGGTTTGGGTCATCCGAAGCAGAACCCAAAGGCAGAAGCTTCCTTATTAAGGAGATTATATAACTGGGATCAACTGTCGTTGATAAATCAAAAAACTGCATCAGAAATAATTCAAAACAATCACTGAATAAGAATTTAAAAATAAGAAGAATAATCTAAGAGTAAGCAATGGGAGATTAATCGAAGCAAATGCAACTAACCTCATGTGACGGAGGAGAAGGGTGATGTGTGGGACCACCCTGCTCTTCTTCTTCTTCAATGGCTGAATCTGCAGGAACCGCCATGCGCATCGTCTTCACTACTTGCTCCAATTGAATTGCGTCAATTTCAATTTTCTTGGATGAACTTGATCCAAGGCCCAAATTTCTTCCCATTGGGCCTGTGGGCCCATAAAAATGCGGGCTTCCTGTCCGTGTCAACTACATGAATTAAAATAAAGACTTTTTTACCGTCAATGTAGATAATTTATTTATATTAAGCTCAAAACGACGTCGTTTTGAGACGGAAATTAAGGGGTGTTTGGTACAGGAGAAATTTTTATTTGTCCGGAAATCTCGATTTTCAAAAATATGATTTTGCATTCAGTTTACGATAATATCTGAAAATTTAAAATTTAGAAAAATTCAGTTTCCTGGTAATCCCTCAAATCTCGCGTACCAAACGCCCCCTTAAAGTATTTTTTTAATTATAATTTATTTCAGAGTTATAATAGTCTTTTTTATTATAATTTTTTAATTTTTCAACCCAAAACGACGTCGCTTTTGAAGCAAGGTAGATAACTTATCTACGTTGACTTTAGAAACATTTTAGCCTTATAATAAATAAATAAAACCAAATGACGGTAACTTAGTTGGGGCATAAGTAGGTGGGGGTGAGAGCATGTGTTCAAATCTTCTTATTATCATTTTTGGGAGCGGATTAAAGTCTTAATCCTAGACCCGTCACAAATCAGATTAGGCGAAAAATGAACCGATTGAAATATTTCTAAAAAATATAAATAAATAAATAAATAATGATAACTGTCACCTTCCAATTGATTTCAGCCACACATAAATACAGGAGAGTTTTTCACTTTTTTGGCTTTTTCTAATTATCTATATATTCTCAAATAACCCTGTAATATTAATAATAACAAATTAAAAAAAAAAAACAAATCTGGATAAATTATCATTCTGTTTCGTTTTGATCGTTGCGGATAATCAGGGACAACTCCAACTACCCCGTTCCGTTTCTAAGCACGGCATGCATGACCACCATAACCGTAACCATAGCTATTCCCACACCTAAACCACACTAACAATGGCTTTAACTTGGCCCCATCTGCTGAAGTTTCGTTCTCAACCTTTCTTCTCCGATCTTACCGAATCCAGCTCTCTTGAACTGCCGTACACTTATTCCCTCACCGTACTCCGCCGGAGAAAGATCTCCGTTCTGTCTTCGCCGGCGCTGAAATCCGTGAAATGCCTCAGCAGATCCACGGAGGAGAAACAGTGGAGCGATTCCGAAACCGCCGTGTCAGACTCCAATGAAGCTGGAGATAATCCAAATGATCAGGCTCCGAACCGAACTTCCGTTCCTGCAAACGATCGTGTTGAGTCTCAGAGGACTGCCACCGCATCTTCTGGCGATTCTCTCTTGCTCGGAATTCGCGAGCCTGTTTATGAAGTTCGTTCTTATAAGCTAATTTTTCTTTTCTTTTCCTTTTTTAAATAAATCCTGAAATTATGTAGTGGAATTTAGTTATTTTCCTTATCCACTTTTACTGGTTTCTATATTTGTGAATTGTGAAGGTTGTAGAAGTGAAGTCAAATGGGACAGTATCAACAAGAAAAATCAACAGGAGAGAATTGTTGAAGTCAAGTGGTGAGTAAAATGCTATGCCTAAGCTGGAAGTTGAGAATACTCCATGCTGCTAGTATCTTATCATGATCTGTTATTCATGCTTTGCTTATTTCACTTTCGATGGGCTCAAAGTCAAAGAAGTTGCTTATGAACATAATTATAATAAAATTTGCAGAACATTTGTTTTCCATTGGGCCACTGCACCTACTTCGTGTTCTCTTCTATTATTTTTTATACGCTCCGTTATTGAATACCTTAAACCTACTTATATCGTTAATTCTTTTTTTCCATGTTCTGTTTGATGAGTGTGTGATTATTCAGGTCTTCGTCCACGGGACATTCGAAGTGTGGATCCGTCATTGTTTTTGACAAATTCAATGCCTTCATTGCTGGTATAATTTCTTTATTCTTTTTTTCCCTATCATTTCTTAATACCTCGTTGTACGTGTAAACGCGCACATCCAAGTTTCACGAAATGTCACTATTCTCCGTATTATTGTAAAGTTCAGTTGGTTAGTTTTGCTAAAATTGTATGTTTCATTGCATAATTTTCAAGAAATGGAATTTGAACTTAGCTTTCATCCTTATCCTCGCCAACCCCCAAACTGCTGTAGAACACTTTCCACATACAATCAAGTATATAAATAGGTAACATGGAAAACTAGAACTGTGCCCCAAAAATGGTAGAGTAAAAACTACTCTAGACATTACTAAGAAATAAGAATCTAATTAGCCTATTGCGTAGGTCGATGGAAAAGTTGTTCTTGAACTACTCCCTGTATTACACTGTTCATAGAAATTCAGCCTCAAAATGAACTCATTCTCATAAAAATGAATTCATTAATACACACACACACACACACACACACACACACACACACAACCTTTGTTTTGGAAAGTTTACCCCATATGTGGTAAAGATGAATATACAACATCAATATCAATTGTTGTCTTTATCAATTAATTATTAGTTCAATTTCTGTCTTGTATTAGGTCCGTGAGTATGCTATACTTCTAAATCTGGGTTCACTACGAGCAATAGCAATGAAAGATCGTGTACTTATATTTGACTATAATCGGTAGTGTTTTAATTCCGAAATAATTCATATATTTTGGGATGCATTACTGTCATTATTTCTTTGATAAAGTAACGGAGGTAACTAAAACCAAACTCTTATCAGTAAAGGAGGGAAAGCTTTTCTAGAGTCATTGCTGCCTCGGTTGAACCCCAAGAACAACAATGGAGGGCCATCAATGCCATTTGAACTTGAGGTTAGTCTGGAATTTGCTTCTTTCATTTAACGTGCTGATCACTGAATAGGAGAAAAACAAAACTAAATAGAGTAGAACTAACTTCCAGACATAGTCTTGTGCATTAATTCTATGTTTCCCATCTTGTGTTCTGCTTTATCATTGAGAGCACAAGCTGATTTTAAATCTTGAGACAAAAGAAAGGTAAGACTTGAAAAAGGGCCCATAACCCACAGGTCCCTGGATCGGAACCAGGCTCTGATACCATGTAAAGAACCTTGGGATACACCACCCAAAAGCTAGCTCAAAGGGTGGGAGTGCCCAAGACCTTATAAACTCTACATTAGTTGCACATACAACCAATGTGGGACTATATATCTCAACAGTAAGAAAGATGATTTGAATATGGTTTATTTCGAAGGGTTGAAATATGATAGGCAAACTCAGGCTTGAACCAACTTAAGAGCAATAACAAAATAACATGCATTTCTTCCCAATTTTTTTCCAATGAATGAGGATAAAAACAGAAATATTAGAATTATACTTCAGTACATATTTATGGCCCAAGTTTTGGAAAAGGTAAATGTGGTGTTTGTAGTGGATGTTCAGGAATTCAAGGAATATAATATAAATAATGACAATATCATACCAAAGAAAATGGTAACTTAAGTGTAAATGATGAGGTGGGAGGATCTAAAAATTGTGACATTCCCAATGCAGAAGGCCGGGAAAAGTGTGGCCTTAAACTTAAGGTAAGTCAGAATGCCGAAAGAAAAAACACATAGGGGACCCTAAATGGTTTTGACTTTTGGGCTGTTGATTTCCAAGTGATTGAGTTTAAGGCTTTTTAAAGGGCCGACCCAGTTCAAATACCCACTTCGTGAGTGTCTGGGAAAGGGAATACTCTAGGCAGTCTTTCCCCTGCTTTTTGCAGAGAGGCTGATTCGAACCCGCGACCTGACACACCACGGCAAGCAAGCTTACCGCTGAGCCAAGCCGGCCCTTCAAGTTTAAGGCTTTTTAGTTGTGGAAAATACCCTCTTTAAACTTCTTAATGAGTTTTGAGTGTTGGTGTTCATATGATCATGCATATGATTAATTGGTTACATGGGTGTAATTTCTTTGTTTTCATTTTGTATATATTAAGCCATCCATTTTGCTTGTCATCATAGGCATACTATTCTGAACTGTCTTACCCCGAGTTATTTGGTGTAAATTTCAGGTTGTTGAAGCAGCATTGCTTTCAAGAATACAGCGTTTGGAGCGGAGACTAATGGATTTAGAACCACGTGTGAGTATGGGAACACAGTGAGTAATTGAGTATGTTATGTTGATTCTTATTGTGTGTGTGTGTATGGGCTTGCAGATGTGTTTGTCTGTTTTTGTTTTTTATGACTCTGATAAGTAGTTATTTCTAAACCTGCTTGTGAACAAAAACTGGTGAAAATTCTGGGTTTTATCTACTGTTTCTTGTGTGGTGTTTCTGCTACTCTCTTCATGCAGGCATTCTATAAGATCTTAAAACTATCATAAAGTAAATTTCATGGTGCTTTATGAGATACTTTTACTGTATCACATTCTTATTGAAATATTAAAAAGAGTAGATGGGTTTTTCGCCTTCTAGGTCATTAAGGTAGCGTTTGGCGTACGGACAGAATGGAATAAAATATAACAGAACGGTTCTGTTTTATTATGTTTTTCTTGGTTCCACCCTTTTTACTGTAACCAAAATGTACCCCCTTTTTAAACTTCATGTCTAGTTTTGTTCTATTTTTAAAATGCAATAAACAGAACAGAACCCATATATTAGATTCTGTCCCGTTCTAATACAGTCACCAAAAGCTACCTGATAGATTATAAGTTTCCACCTTTCTCTGTCTCTGAATTCACTCCCTGATTGGAATAACTATTTTCTTTCTATCTTTCTCTCTCCCTTTTGATCCTAGGTTCAAGCTCTTCTTGAGGCCTTGCCAAATCGGTTAACTGGGGACATATTGGAGCAACTTCGTATTAGCAAACAAACTTTGGTATTTTTTATTTTTTATTTTTATTAGCAATCTTCAGAAGTACTGGGAGAACACTAGTTTTTAATTTGCTTCCTGCCAAATTGCTAGGTTGAGTTAGGTTCTAGGGCAGGTGAGCTCAGACAGATGCTGCTTGACCTTTTGGAGGACCCCCACGAAATACGCCGTATATGTATCATGGGAAGAAACTGCACAATTAATAAAGGAAACAATGCTATGGAATGCTCAATGCCCGTAGACAAGCAGATTGCTGAACGTAAGATGTTTAAACTTTAAAGGATTATTATTTGTTGCAGACATCAAAATGGATATTCCCATTATACTGATGACCTATAACATAGTTTCTCATCTGCCTTTTTCTATGATATGTAGAGGAGGAGGAGGAAATTGAGATGCTTCTGGAAAATTATCTTCAAAGGTTATTCTGAATCCAAAATTGTGCATTACATTTCATAATTGATTTTTTTGTGCATGCACAAGTATTGAGGATTTATATATGATATTTGTAGTACGCCATTCAGCAAAAAATAAAAAATGAGTGGAGCAGCGGTAAGCTTATTCCTAGTGACCAGAAAGTCATGGGTTCAAGTATGGTAAATATCCTCTCTGCCCAAAAAAATAAGGGTAAGGCTGTGTACAATTGACCCTTACCCTCAATTCTTTGTCGGTGATCCTTGTGCACCGGGGTTTGTCCTTTATTTGTAGTACACCATACAACATTATTACATGCCTGCATGGCCTTCCTTTTGTCAACTTTAAGAAGGAAACCATCACAGAACTAACATGGAAGAAACAAGTTGAAACCAAGAATCTTAGGCTTTTACTTACCATTAATATTCGTACACAAGAACACTACATGTTACAATACAATGGATATCCAGAAAGTTATCTGATCCATGTTACGATATCTAAAAGGATCCACATTAAGAAACATGTCTCATAACCATTAAGCTTTCAAACAACACAATTAATTGATGGTTCTAGCAAATGCTAGTTTTTGTAAAGTTAAACATTCCTAATGATTTCATCGCAGCATTGACTTCTATGTCTTAATGCACTTGCAGATGTGAATCTTGTCATGGCCAAGCTGAAAGGCTTCTTGATTCTGCAAGGGAAATGGAAGATTCTATTGCTGTCAGTTTGAGGTTTGAATATCTTTTTTCTCTCTTTGCCCAGGAGGGTTTAGACTTGTATCAACTTATTGTAGATTACTGCATTAAAAGATTACATAATTTGATGCTAGGTAGTTTAGTATTCTTCTAAAGCCACAATTATACTAACCATGGGATTGTGCTTGGACTGCCATCTCTGGATCCAATGTGATGGCGTAGACTCAGAAGTCACATTAGGCATTAAACCATTATATATCCCATATTTTCAATGAAGTCAAAACCTTGGGATAATATTATGACATTCAAGGGCTTCAAATAAGACAGGTAAAGACCAATCAAGAGTTTCAAAATGCATTATTCGGAAGCTATCTTACAATTAAGAATGCATGAAATACTTTGTTGCAAAGTTAAAAGAACCACCCAGGTTCCTTTGTGCTAGTGTTACATAGAGTAACTTGAGAGAATTATGCATATAGTTAGGTCACATCGATTAGCTTTGCTTAAACTCAATTCAAGAAAAGCAATTTGTTAACATCAATAACTCTATCTGTCATTACAAACCTTATGTATTAAAATAAATTTGATTTCAATCAACAGCTCACGAAGACTTGAGGTTAGCAGATTCGAACTGCTTCTCCAGGTTGGAACATTCTGTGTGGCAGTTGGTGCCCTTGTAGCAGGTACAGATTTTGGTTGATTCTTTGATAGTTTTATTGAAACCACCCATGACTTTAACCAAGATTTATTTTTAAATTAATCACACTCAAGTCCACGTTAACCAGTTAATGAAATTGACTTTACATTAATTACATTAAAGTCAGGGAGAGGTTATATTTACAACCTATTTTCTTTTATAACCTCTTACAATTAAATCAAGGGCTCTCATTTAATATCATTTTGTAACCGTTGATTTGATTTTAATCTGACAACCATAAAAGTGGCAGTAAGAGATTGTAAAGGAAAATAGGTTATAAATGCAATCTCCCTCTTAAATTAACCTGTAATTAAAGTGAGCTCAAACTTGGTTAATTATAAATTTTGTTGAAGTTTTGGATGGTTTCAAAACAACCCATGGCACTCATCTTTTAATTTTTTAATCTTTTAGTTCTGAAGTTTGGCCAAAACATATGAACATGCATTTTATCATTTAACCGCCTAGGTACATGCTATATGAATTGGCTACCATCATGATCATGGCATAATTATGCTTTTCAAATATACTTCTTTATAAAGGACTTCCAATCTGGTATCTGGACTCTGGAGGTGATCAATTTGACCTCTAATGGAATGTTACAAAGGAACATGCAGATTATATTAGAACTTTTGGTTATATGGCATGAATAATTATGTCAAATGCATGGGACTGGTTTATTATCTGAAGAGAATATTGTGTCCATTTCCTGATTTTGATTTCAGGTATATTTGGCATGAACCTGAAGTCCTATCTTGAGGAACATGTGGTTAGTGTCTGAAATCTTATTCCATGCGTGACTTGCTTGATTCTTCTTGGAGGTTGTTGTCAATCAGTCTCGTTAAACTAACCACATTTTTGGATTTGATGCAGTTTGCATTTTGGCTGACAACAGCTGGGATAATTATTGGTGCTGTTATTGCTTTTTTTCTTATGTATTCTTACCTCAGGGCAAGGAAAATATTTTGATTGGAAGAAACTTCAAATTTAGGTAATTTTGTTACTTTTAACTTGTTTCCCAAGCAATATTACTCTCAACTTTTTTCTTCCGAGATCTTGAGTGTGAGACAGAGCTGTGGATCTACTACCATGATATTACCAACATAACATCTTTATAAGTAAAGTATTTTCAAGGCTTCTAATGACTTCCCAAGGTTTAGATATCAATATAATTACAATTCTGTATTGTCCTCCGAACCTGAAGGGAATCTAATTCATTTTTCAGGTGATGTCTGACTGCAAAGAAAATTAAGCACCCTACAAATTCAGTGTTTGTACATGAGGATCAATCATCCAAAATGGGTTTGAAAGTATTTATGATATTACTCACGTTACTGAACGTGACGATCGTTAGTTTTTATTGTTGTTTTGGAGGGGGGTAGACAATTTTGTATTATTCATGAGTTCATAATGGCTATGATACTCCTGATAGATTATCATTCTACATTTGGTTGTTTCCTGTGTGGGTGTGTTGTATTGTGTGTGCTAAAACATTCTTCAACTCTATCTCTAGGGTCAAGGTTTCAATATGTATAGCCACTGCTTTAAAAAGGTAGTTGAATTAAATTATAAAGATTGTAAATTTGGGAGCTAATATACAATATAGTCCTTGGAGTGTGATAGACTCGAGTTCTATCAAGGAAGATGAAAAGAAGGGAAAGAGGATGAGAGAACAGAGAAGGAAGTAATTTGTCTTATTTCATCAATAATCCCTCTTACACTGATTTTCCCCCTTTTATACTCTAAACGCATTTCAACAGAAAACAGAAAGTAAAACAACAACATGCAACTCATTCACTATCTGCTATGGACCACTAATGATACAACTGTGTATTTACAACCATTATTGTTTGCTATGCCTACTCTTCAAATCTCCTTGGCTTTCTACTCACTCTCTTGGATCTTCTTTCTGCAATGGGCCTCTCTAGTTCTGGTTCCACTTCCTCTTCAACACTTGCATGTAGCTCTGGTTCCATCTCTTTTCCTTCAGCTGCTGTCGGTATTGCTTCCATAGTTTTTGCAGCTTTGTGTACTTCAATTGGACCCTGATCACTGGATTGTGAAATTGGGTCATTGAACTCTTCTATTGGGCTGTTGCACATTGGGCCCGTATCAGAGTGGTAACTTGTATTGTTGTAGTTTATGAAAGTGTGTGTATATATAAATTGGTATCTGAAAGTAATATAAATGTTCATTACAAGTTAATCCTTCTGTCGGACGGTGTTAGTGAGACGTAACATAAATGATGATATGAAATGTGTAACGTTATTTGGTAATCAAATTACTTACATGGAATTCCTGAATGACATCGTTACTTTGTACCCTGAAAAAAAAAAAAATTCCCACCCATTCTCCTTGAAAAGTCTACGATTGGTATAAATTTTTAAATCTCTCTAACCAAAGTGACAACATCCTTTACAATGTTAATGTATTTAACGTTACACATGTATTTAACGTTCTACATCAATTTAAGAATATACTTATTATAAAATTATTATTTTCGACGACCAATTTAGATAGATATATATTTTCTGAGACGAAAGAAACACAAACTCTCACTTGAACTAAAATTCTATATTAACAATTATAAAAAAAATGTATATTAACTTTGTTTTTTAAAGGTACCAACCAGTGCGACTAATTCGATTTCAAATTTGTGTCCCTCCACCTTCTTCCCTTTCAAAATAAACAATTGTAATTGTAAGACAGTTATTTATTTTTTTAATAAAAGAGTACAATAACATAAAAAAAAAAAAAAAAATATTAGATTTTATTTTACATTTCACTTGCACAGTCAAGTATAGCCATTAGCCAGCGTCTGTCAAATATGCATCTCTTTAGCTGGGTACCCAAGGTATTAGTATCAGTTATAACTAATAATTTTGTATTGGAATTTGGCTTGCACTCCCGACCAGCAATTATCTCAAATTTTGCCGCTTAAAACTCTGATTCGCAAAAATACATATGTATACAATGACCCCTAAGCTAAACTTTAGGTTAAAAAATCAAGTGCGCATTACTAAAAACATACCAAAAACAAGGAAACAAAAGATGCAATGGTAAAGTTTAAAGTAACAAAATCGGTTATGGACACATTAAAAATCAACTCATTCAAATGTACAGTTCAAACCCCTCAACTATCGCCATTTTGGAAGATGAAAATCTAATCTAAGGAGAAGTTTCAGACAAACTCTCCAAAAAAATATATATAAATAAAAAATCTTCATGGGTACATCATAGTGCACTTACTATTGAATGTGAAGGAAGCTAGCATATCTTTTAGACATTCTGCTCTGTAACAGGTGAATGAAATGGTGTTGCTCCATTGTAAAACTCAGCTTCCCTCACCCTGTGAAGGGCTTTCCAAATCATAACCTCACGTATGAACTATATTACCTGTAAGGCTTAATATAACAGTTAAATAGAATACCACTCTCCATGGACCACCAAAGCTTACCATATAAACAAAAACAGGTTGCATACACCACCCAAGCAAGCCAATTTGCGTCTATTTTGATGGCTTCACAGATTGGAACTCTTTGGGTGACTTTGAAGTTCCATCTATGGCCATATTCCCCATACCAACTTCCACAGCCTCCTGCTCAACCTTTTCCCTCTTCAACTTTTCAGACATTTCCCCATCAATAGCATCAGATTGCACAATAGTCAATGAGGGCTCAAGAGTACGAGGAACTGTGCTGATCCATGGATGATTAAGGCACTGAGCAGCCGTTGGCCTCTTTTCAGGGACAAAATCAAGTAATGGAACAAGGAAATCAGCCATGTTATTTGCTTCTTGCTCACTGAAATCATACTTCTCCAATAGCACCTTTGTAAGAGGCCAGAAACGCAACCGACGGATGTGCCTCAGATCACCATATCTATTGAAAAAATCCCGGGAATAGCGGCCACTAAGTGCAATCTGAAGGAAATAATTGTTCATTTTTTAAATGATAAGAACAAATAAAATATTGATACTAATCAATTCAAAATGGATTGCAGTAAACTACCATAATGTTTCTTTTTCTGAAAGCACAATTCATTAAGACAGAAAAGGAGTAGAATGCAATAGGAATATAGGATCAGGAAAATAGTGTCTATAAAGCATCTATAATATGTTGAATATTTTTTTACTTGAGCATACCAACATGCAAATGGATAATAACAACTTGCCTACCTTTCGAGGCATCATTCCAAGAAGCTCCATCATCAATGCCAGATGATCCTGTAAAGTAAATTCTGAAATCTCATCAAAATAATTCATTAATTGAAGTTGAAGTCCAAATAACAACAGCAGTATTTCACAATTTTGTACATTTTTCCAAAATAGGAAATGATGACATTTTCAGTAGGTATACACAATAAAAACAAATCCAACAATATACATTATTTGTGGATGAAATGAGGGCTTAGAGCCCCTATAGTTTTAATTGTTATTTTACCTCCTATTGGTTTAAACTTTATAAGTTTTTACTAATTAACACCAAAGAAGCATAGTGAAGCTTCAATTCTAAGATCACCAACAGAATGACAGCAAATATATTCAAAACTTGAGAAGACTGCAATATCTTTAGACAAAAAGCCATACTTTAGCTGATTAATGATTTCAAAATGCTATTGAGTATGTTATCAAAAAAAAAAAAATGCTATTGAGTATTGACATAAGTACATTACTTTGAAGAAATCTCTTACGAATGATCTAGTAGCAGAACTTTACAGATTGGGGTCGAAACCTCTATTTCAGCCTTCTGAAGACAAAGCAGTGCACAAGTAGTTTAAAATCTTTAGTTGGATTAAGAGTCCTTTTAACCAAACTTTACTGGCCACAAATATTATCAATCTACCAACCTCACACCCACTTTTGGAGTATAACAGTAGAGGAAACATTTTGATAGGGTATCTTTTCACTAAATGTTTCCTTATTTTTTACCATTCAAATTCCTAAAAATCAGACATAAACAAAGAAAATATTCAAAAAATGATACAATTACTTGTCTCAGCAGCAAAAAAAGTATAGCACTTCAAGCAACAACAAAAAAACAAAATATCTGCAGAGATATATAAATAAACAGCAAGATGCATAATTTTTTTTTAACAAATATTTACTTAACAAAATCAGCAGAAATATTCTTTAATGCAGATACGATTCTAACAATATGAGCAGGTACAAAATCGAATTGTGATATTGAACAACAATCAAACCAGACAGTTAAGGACAACTTCTACTCTGTTCAGAAAAAACATGATGGCAAGCCAGTTGTGAAATCCATAATAATAATCATATTAACGGCAAGCTTTAGATGATGATAGCAAGAAGTGAAGCCAACCAGTTCTTTTGAAGTCGAAAACAGGTGTGCATTTACCTCATCCCTATCATAGTTGTCACCACTATGAGGGTCAAAAAGAACATCGCCAGTGACAAGTTCAAAGCAAATGCAAGCAAAGGACCATAGATCTGCTGGAGTTGAGTATTTAGATCCAAGAAGAACCTCAGGACACCTATATTGCCTTGTCTGAATATCGTTTGTGAATTGTTTATATGTCCAACAAGCATTACCAAAATCAACCAGCTTGCATTTAAGATCAACGGCTCCAAGCAACTTCTTTCTTGTAGAACAGCTACCTCTCCTACGACCATGACTTCCTTGTGGATCATCCTTAGTTTCAAAAGACTTTGTTGATTCATCTTTACTCACAGGACTATTAGGTTTACCTTCACCAGATTCTGCACTTGGTTTCACATCATTACTACAATCATCTTGCTCAGGTGCTTTATAATCCTCCTCAATTTCGTCAGGATTTTCCTTCCCAACACATCCTTGAGCTGCCTTTTTAGCCTTTTTCCGCATTTTCTTTTTTTGGTTCTTGGTCAGATCTCCATTCAAACTTTTACCGTCATTTATGGGCCCATTCTTGGAGACCATCTTGTCCTTGGTGTTTGGAAGGATAAGTGGAACACCTGATTTTCTAGGATCCTTAGCTGGATCTATTGGAGACAGAAGCAAGACATTCTCTGGCTTCAAATCAGTGTGTATTATAGAAAGCTCGCGATGCAAGTAATCCAAACCCACCAAGATATGGAAACAAATTTCTTTGACCATGGGAAGGGAAACCCCTCGATAATCACTATACTTGATGAGGGTGAGAAGATTATCGCCAAGGAATTCAAAAACCATACAAACATGCTGCCCATTAGGTCCCGAATGCTTAAAGTGATCCAAAAGCTTTACAACACATTTCTTGTCATCTGGATCCCCGTCAGCAATTTGTTTGAGAATCTTTATTTCATCCATTGCCGCTTCAGTGTAGTGCTGAGCACTCTTTTGAATTTTTAAGGCAACATATTGCTACAAACAAATAATTTCCTCCATTGTTAATAGAGTTACAAAGTACAGATCGTGGCATGTATGTTAGCTAGGCTTTCAAGGAATGACTAATAATATAGTCACAAAGTGAATTGCCATCTAGTTACAGGAAGTCGAATGATACACAATAGACATGACCAACAACTTAGCAAATTAGAAAGAGCAACAAGGCAACAAAAATATGAATAACTAAACACAAAATGTGTTACCTTTTATTAGTTGAGACTTGAGAATGACAGATTTCTTTTGAAAACCAATCATTGTCCAAAATATTAAAATGCTTAAAATCCAATATTTTAAAAATTTCTTTCAATCACCAATAGAAAAAACTCAACTTTTCTCAAAGTTCTCTGCCATTGACACAGTGACACTCCTTCATAACCCAGAAAAAGGACAAAACTCAACTTTTCCCAAACCCAAAACACTAGACTAATTGTCAATTGTCAAAAAGCATTCTTTTTTTTTTTTCCTCCCAAATTTTCCTGAGGAAACAAACAGAAGGGGACATACCGATTTCTGAGTGTCCCAAGCGAGCCAAACAGTGGAAAAATGACCCCAACCGAGCTTGCTCTGCACCACATAGCACCCATTCTTGAAAGTATCCCCAATCTGAACCGCATGGTACCCTCCACGCCTGTAATCCTCAGCGCCCTCGTCCTCCGAACTGTAATCACTGACCTCATTGCGGTCCTCCGCCATTGAAGGGCCTTGAAGCACAAACCACACTCTACACTATACAAGCTATAAATATCAATACACCGAGACCACCCACAAAAAAAAAAAAAATGGAAACTTCAACGACGATGAATCGATTTTTCAGATAGTGGTTACAGCTGAGAAGTATTAGAGTAAGATAGAGGGAAAAGAAACCCTTAATTTCAGTAAACGGTGGAAATGGGAATTTAGGGTTTTGAGGGGGTCTTGCCGGGAAAATAAACAAGAGAAATGATTCATTGAACATAATGTATTATGTATGCATGAAGAGAAATTATGTATTATTTATTAATTGTTTTAATTTACTTAATTTTTATAAGCTTGTTCATTTTAAAAACACTTTTAACGAATAATTTTTTTGAAAACAAACAATTTTTTTTATTTCTCAATATAATAATTTCTTTAAAGAAAAACCTATCATTATTATAAGATGCGAAAAGTTTCACAAGCAAAGCTAAAAATGGAGAATAAAAAATAAAAAAGAGGAAAAAATACATTGCAATATTTAAATTTGTATATTTCGTTATAGGGTAATAGTTTTACCCTGTTATAAAAGAAGAAATTTGTTTGCTACTCACACAATATATAGGTAGGTTCCACTTATTATCCTTTGCTATAACTCATAATTATTAATTTATTTTAATGACAAACTTTTTTCTTTGTTTCATGATTATTATTAATAGGGTTTGTTTTCCTTATGTTATAAAAAAATAATACCTCTTTCTTACGCACAAAAATAAAGAGGTGAGAGAAAATAAAAAAAATATAACACATGTACTTTTATATGTATGTAGAAAAATATACTATGTTCCTACAACGTTATACTTGTTTTTTCCATTATTAATTTATTCATGAACCAGCTATCTGACATTCTGACCACATTTATCAATAAAACTCTAGTGTGTAGACTAGTCAAGTAGTTAAAAACATTCATAAAAGTCATTCATCGTGGTAGTTCGTGTCGTTAATTTTTTGTCCTAGGACTAGGTGTAGAGAGGATAAAGCGCGTGACTTTGGTTGACGGTCAATGATGGCTAATCAGGTGGGTCCCGCATATGATCTAGAACTTTCAAAAGGCTCGTGACGTGGCATCTTCTTTGTGGAAATATTTAATAGGAAAAAATTAAAAAACCCTGAACATGATATATTGCTTTGAATCACTTCTGTCTTTGTAATTTATTTTTAATCACTTAATTTTCTTTTCTTTTTTTCATTTACACTCTCTTTAACATTGTTAGAAGCTTAATTAAATATATCTATTTTACTTTTCTTAAAAAAAAATAGAGTGACAAAAAAAAAACTAAATATTAGAAAAACTTAGAATGCTCAATAAAAGACTAAAATCAAATGACGGTAGTTCAATTGATAGCAAGTGAGCAGAGTAAGTGGAAAGGAAAGAGTCTTGGTACGATCCTTACATACCACATTTGGGAGAAATTTAAATATCTTTATCCATGATTCACTCCACACTCCGGATTAGTCCATAGCCGGCTCAAATAGTCAAAGTTTGCGAGAATACGGGTTAGAGTCAACTCGCCTCAAAAAAGTAATTAGGGTTGGGTTAACTAAAAATAAAAAAAAACAAAAGACCAAATATGTCTAAATAAAAAAATAATAATAATAATTAAGCAAAACAAAGGAAAAATAAGATCAAATTTATTGAAAAATCACAACAATGACAGAAAAATTAAAAGTAAATAAAATAAAATAAACCAAATACAAAAAAACAAAGAAAGAAAAAATAAGATCAAATTTACCTAAATAAAAATAAAATAAAATAGAGTGAGAAAAAATAGAAAAAAAATCAAATATGTTACAACACAATTTTTTTTTTCTTTTATGAAAAATATTAGCATCATGTTGCATAAGAGAGTTATTTTATGTTATACACTCAAAGAATTTCGTGCCAATTTTTCTTTTCTTTTTCTTTTTACATCGTGGATCTCACATTTTTGTGTTATCCACATGAGAGTATTATCTCATGTAACATGATATTAGTAAACTCATTTTAGATAAATGCTTTTCTCCTTTTACATAAGAGAAGAATTGTCTCCTACTGAAATAAAAAAAGTGGGGCCAACAATTAAAAAAGAAAAGAAAAACAAAAACAAAAACTTGACACATAATTTGATCTATGTATAGAAAACAAATCTTCTCTTATGTTAAAGGAGAAAAACATTTTCCATTTTTTTAGTCTTTTCTATCACTATTGTGATTTTTAATATATTTAATCTTATTTTTTGTTCTATTTTGTTTGTCCCTAATCTTTTTTTTTCTTATTTAGACATTTGATCTTTTTTTCCTTTAGTCTTTTAATAAGTGTTTGAAGTTTTCATAATATTTGATTTTATTTTTTTTGTCACTCTATTTTTTCTTCTAAGAAGGGTAAAATAGGTATATTTAATTAAATTTTTAATAGTGTTAAAAAGAGGTGTGGATGAAAATAATTAAAAAGGGTTAAGTGATTAAAAATAAAGCACATGAGTGTAAGTGATTCAAAATAATAGCGAGGGCTGAACTTTTCTCAATTTAATATATTGTTATTGTAACTATATCCGGCTAGTGAAAATATAACATCTATGTTAACATGTTTTCTGAGAAATGAAAAAAAAAAAAAAAAAACTCTAAAATTATGCTAATGTATGCCTTTAATTTCATTTTAAATGAGAATAATAACCACTGCTCAATGGTATTAGAGTACTAAAATTGATCTCCTTCTTTGCCTTTGGACATAAAATCAAGGTGTTAATATTTCTCATATTATAAGGGATAAGTTTTATCTCGTATATATATATAAAAATATTTGGTGCCCGTATGAATTCATGTGAGGAGAAGAGAGAAATAAAAAATATGGGCCCTAGATACTTTTATGTGTATGTAGAAAAATATGAAGGACAATAAATCAAAAAAAAAAAAAATACCGTCCAAACTAGTCTACTCTCAGAATTTTTTTGGTATTACTATTGTACCAAATATTTTTTAAAAAAAGAAAATTTTGGATTTGAATAAAAATATGAATAATGACTTGAATTCAAATGAAACCAAAATTTTTCAATTTAAGAAAATATTGTACTGAGTTTGGTATAATAATAATACCAAAGAAATTTTCCCGTTTCGATTTCTTCCGTGTCAAAATATATTGAGATTTTTCTGAAAATACATTAAGCTTTTTGTAAGATTCAAAAAATTGAGTAGCTTGTCTGCTGTATATACTGAATGTTCATTTTGCAAAATATTTACTAACATAGTATTCGGGCAACAACAAAAAAAGACAAAATACATTACAGAGTTTGAACATGCACATTTTTACATTACATGTAACTTTCAAGGAAATTACTTTTAAATTTTTAGTTGCTTAATTTATTATGTTTAGGTTTGCTTGTAATTAAACCCACAAATATATAAAAATTAAAATGAATAAATTGTTTCCAATAATCGATTGTAATTTTTCGGTGACAAATGAGCAACCGCGCAAGTGATGTGTAGATTGAAAGATTCATAATTTCCTGTTTGATTTACTTATACACTTCTTAAAGCAATGAAGACATTGTTGAGGCCATGCGATTGGACCAACAAGAGTATACATTGTTTGACTCATATGCCCAAGGCCCAATCCACAACAGGTCTTATAATTATTCGTTATTCAGCACAAAAATATAACACTCCTCATTGAATAATTTCATTATAACTACACATTTTTACCTTAATCGTGATATAGAAAATACTCTAATTATCATAAAGACTAATCCAATATCCTATTATTTGTACTATGTTTCCCACCAAATCTACAAAATGATAAACCTCAAGAAAGTTTAAGCATGATGACAATATCTCAAGTTAAGCAACTTCGGAAATTCTTTTTATTGAAGTTGAAGTAATGTGGTGTGACCATGTCCAAGTAACACAACCAAACAAATAGAAGAAAGCAGGGTATCATATAGAACCAGCCAAGCAATAATTAACATGAAACAAGATAGAGATTAATGCTTTGCTCTGTGGACACATGTCAATACCCAGGGCCTAAAGGCTTAGATAGCCAAGTTGGGCCACATATTCGCTTACTCATTGTATTCTGAAGACAATATACCAATTTCCCCAAGTCCCCTAGCATTGGATCCTTCTATTGGGATGAAGAGAATATACTAATCCCTAGGGTCCTTTAAATCGGCGCGGAAACTAGTTACAAACCGTCAAAGCATCAGCTTGGCACTTTGGAGGTCGGCTTTGAAGCCCACAGGTCGACTAAGTCGGAAAAACAAAGAAAATGCAAATATGAAGATATAAAGAAATGAAGAGAAAAACACAATAATTTTTAGGAAATATTATTCTTTTGCGGAAGGGTGAATAGTATTTTTTTTTTTATTCTTCATAAATCTGAATTATTTAGCACACTCTTTATATTACAATCATACACGTGACCTTTAACTTGGTTCATTATCAGTAGTGTCGGTACTGATGGACAGTTTCAGAGCCCTTCTTTCTTCTGAGTGGACATCATCATACATCTCTTTTCATCCGGGTTTGTCGGAATTAGCTTTTTCTTCAATTATCTCTGCGATGACATCAGCATTCGAGTCTTGAGTGATTTTTGTGATTGGATAAAAAACCAAATCAATTTGCATTGGATTTGGGCCTTGTGATGAGCTTGGCTAGAATGGTTAAAAAATATTGGGGGCCATGAATATTTGTGTATGCAAGAAAACTCATTTATTAAATGTTACATAAGAAAACTAAAACCCATAACTTTAATGTGAAAAGTCTCTCCTAACGTAAAGGAGTAAAAACTACAAGACCTAGTCGAGAAAATCTTTTACTATGAATAGTAGGATTACAAAGATTCAAGCTTCTCTAGTATCACTAGAGGTTTACACTCAAATTTCACCATCAAAAGTGATTATACTATTCTTTTCTAAAGAGGTCTCACAATTAAACTTCTTTTCAAAGGATTCTCACACAGGCTCTAAGCTTAGGTTAATCCTTAAAAAAAGTTTACAATTCTTTATAAAGTAAAGTGAAGCCTCTCATCTTCTTCTAGAATCTTAATCATAATGACATAGGTAGCATTTATTGAGTCATGCACCAATAAATGTAACGTCTTGTTTGAGAGTTTTTTTTAGCTTCTCTTTTCCTTATAAATAGAAGTTAAGCCATACAAGTTTTTATAAAAGCTCTTAAAATAAAAAAGCAAAAAGCAAAAAGC